TTCGCCCCCGCGGGCAGCGCGGGGTCCCCGCGTTTCCTCGGGGAAGTTGCTGCAGCTGACGAGCAGTGGCACAGTAATGACGAGGGACAGGTTTTACCGCTCTGCTGCGTCTCCTTCTTGTCGCATGCGTCGGACAGCTTGTATTAGTAGCAAAACCAAGAAGTATGTTAAAGCTCGAAAAAGGAAAGCTGTAAACAACGCTTTTAACAGGCAAAAAAAAAGTCTTGTTTTTCGGCGAAATCACGTTTGGTACCTGTTGGACAGAAGCTCCTAACTTTTCATTATCATTTTCAATTGGCGTTATGGGTGTGAGTTTGTAGCCTGAATAAGGAAGTTCTGAGATGAGTTGGGTGGTGATTGAAGGCGTGTTTGAGCGTTAATAATTTTTTCCTAAACAGACAGCATTTTAAAAGATTAAATAGCTGTTGTAGCAATATATCTAAGATGCCCTGCTCAAGTGATTCCAAACCTGGATGTTTGACTCTTCCTTCTAGTTTCAAAGCAGTTTTCAAAGCTTAGGTGTTTGCTTATGATTTGTTGGATTTCACTACAGTGCCTTACGTTGTCCGTGTAGCAAGGCGGCAGCAGCGTGTGCTGGCTTTTCAGCTATTTCCTTAAAAGCCTGGGCTGCTCGCTGAAATTGGTGGCAGCTTCAAACTTTTTACCGAAGAACTGTGAACTGTGGCAGCTGAGGGAGTCAGCATGTGTCTGCTCTAACCAGGGGAATAGCAGCAGGCTGTAGTACCCATGACGCTTTCAGAAAAAGGGGCTGTTGGATCTCTTAAGATAAACTGAAAGCACAACTCAACCACGTATGCCGGTGCCCATGTAGTTCTCTAGTTAGTCTTTTGGAAGACTAGATGGTGGTGGTAGCTTATGCAGAATACTTACTCTGTATAGAAGAAAATGTCTGGATTGTTATCTGTGATACTAAGCTTCAACAGTTGCTTGTATCCCCATTCTTCCTTTTCTCTGCTAGGCCACTTGAATATACAGACTGACACATACTAGTATCTAGATTAGGATTTCTGTTTGCTATTACAGAAAAAACTACCCAAAATAAAAGGCAATTCCTATGTAAAGCACATCATTATTTTTAAATCGTATAGCTGTGCTTCTTAAAGGGTCATCTGTTTTCCGTATATATGTTGCTTCCATATAAAAGCTTTAGTTTTCATCTCTTTAGAATGCTGCCTGTGCAATGCCCTGCTCTCTTCTTATCTGACAGTGGTGCCTGTGTGGATGATGTGGTGATTGAGCATGTTGAGAGCAGTTTGGTTACGGAATTTAACTGTACTGAAGATCATTATGCACAACAGAAGACTAGTTATTGCAGGTGACTGGAGATCCTTCCCGATCCTGCCTCTTGTTTCTTCTCGTCCTCATTCCTCTTTCTGAAACAGACTTATGTTTCTCTTACATCTGGGTGATAAATATAGGTCCCAACAACACACCTTTCAAAATCACGTAAAGCGGCGTCGCAGCAATACTACAGAAAATCACAAAAAGTTAGCAGTGCCTTTTTCCAGTTGTAATGACAGGAGGATTTTTATGAAGTCATGTTGGTGGATTAAAGAATAGATTTGTTTATTGCACATTGCTCTTGTGCATGTTTGGTGAGTTTTGGCAACAAAAAGATAACAGCCCCTTTGCTTCATATGTTTAACAATGTTTGTGCTCTACATGTTGCTTGTGTACGTCCAGGGGAGGGTTTGTTCCTTTAAAAGAAAGTTGGGCTGCTACAGATAAGGCTGTTAGAAGAACAGAGAACTAAACAGGAAAAAAAAGTGCTTGGAAAGAATGGGAGAAAGGTTGATGTTATCGTTGATAATTGTGTTGGTTTTGGTGGTAAATGCCACTCTCTAGACTCATAGTGGCTGTTAGCATAGCTGAAGAGGCAGCATGCAGTGGTCATGGTAGGAACTGGTTAACAGGGGGAGAGCCCTAAAGCTTCTTCAGCTGGCTTTGCTTTTGAAATCCTGTTGGAAACTGCATACTCATTTTTGTCGTTTTTATTTATAGTGCAGCTACGCAAGATTGAATCAGTGAAATGTGTGGGGTTATAAAAAAAGTAAAATTATCTCTTCCTGAAAAGTGTGATTTTTATTTGCTTTTCCCTTACACAGTGTAGATTAGCCAAGCACAGGGGACAGAAGTCCTGAGGTACCAGAAACGATCAGGATAGGGTAGGAATCCGTTCAGCCGACTTTCTTCTCTGGGGAAATCATAATAACGGATTACAAGTGCAGACAAACCCATAACCAGTCAAGATATTCTTAGCCCATTGGCATGTAGAAGTTTCAGGGAGGTCTTCCCACCTCAGCTCGTTTCCAGAGTTCCTTAGTCCCAGCCGCTCCTTGGGCAGTGATTGCATTGCTTCAGCCGTCACCAATGGGTACTAACTGTGGCTTTTGTAGATTCCAGAATTTGACAACTTATACCTGGACATGAATGGCATTATACATCAGTGTTCACATCCAAATGATGATGATGTTCACTTCAGAATCTCAGAAGATAAGATCTTTGCTGATATTTTTCACTATTTGGAAGTACTATTTCGCATTATTAAACCAAGGAAGGTTTTCTTCATGGCAGTTGATGGAGTAGCTCCAAGAGCAAAAATGAATCAGCAGCGTGGGAGACGTTTTAGGTGAGAATATTTGTTCTTGCTCCGTCTCTAGCATAGTAAACACTTTAAAAAAACCATTTACTTAAATGTATGCCATGAAAACTAAAATATATTATGAGTGGTCATGCCTTTGACAGTAGCTTTAATTTTTAGTTAAATGAGGGTAACTACCTGTAAAATATTAATACTTAAAATCAAGATTCCAAAAAGGAAAGTTTGCTTGTTACTTAGATTTGTCTCTGTGTGTGCGGGACTTGAGGGTGGGGGGAGCTTTCTTCCTATGAAACTTTCTGTGAAATAAATCTGTAGTGGAGCTCTTAGAGATGTCTCCAGTGGCTTCATAACCTGTGAGAGTCTTTGGCATTTATGAATGCTGAGTCTAGATATGCCTTTGGTAACTACAGCGGAATGTTCTTTGACAGTCAAAGAAGAAATGAAGTTTCTAATGAAATTCCCATTTCCTCTTGACACCGGTTAGCGAGCTAGCTCAAATACAGAGCTGCAAGTAGATTTCACAGTGTTAAGAATTACATTAATGTTTTGGGAGATGTGGAAGCTTTTTTGAAGAGTGCTGTAAGGAAGGAAAGGCAGTGGTCAGGCAGTACAGGGATGTTGAGTGAAATGCAACAGAAACAAACTGGGGAAAAGGGACAAGAGAAAATATTTTCAAGCTACTGGGTTTTTTTGTGGGTTGGGGTTTTGTTGTGTGGGGTTTTTTAAGGAAAAAAGCGGATTGAGGCAAAGAAGAGATTAAGAAAGAGTTTAAATAGAAAATTGGAGTGGAATTGAGAGAAGGACAAAAATCTAAGACATTGGCGGCTTCTCTTTTTCTGATTCAAAAGTGTTTATGAAACCCTTGGCCAAGAAAGGCTAGGGTGATATTTGTTTGTTTGTTTCTCTATTACTAGTGATGGTAAATTGTTAGTTCACCCCTCCTACCCCTGTGGTATTCCAAATTTACTGCTCTGTTTAACTACGTTACCATTATTGTTCTGGGATAGCATTTTCAGATGTTTAGATCCCAAGTATTCCTACTGTTTCAACATTAATTTACTTCCATTGTGATCAGCTATTGAATGATCATCTTGGTAATCTAAATATTAACTGTATCTGAGCAATGACAGATTATCATCATTACTAGGGGAAAAAAAGCTATTTTTAAGCCTTCCAGTTGTACCAGAAACAAGTTCAATTCAGGAGTTACATTTCTCTTCCTTTTTCTTTCTTTTAAACACTCTTTAAAAATCAACTATATGTATTTTGTCAGTAAAGCTGTACTTAGGATATTAACATTTGAATAAGATGGTTCTTTCTCTACTCTCTCTCTCTCCAACCCTGTTTTGTTTTAGATCAGCAAAAGAGGCAGAGGACAAAATAAAAAAGGCATTAGAAAAGGGAGAAACTCTCCCTACAGAAGCCAGATTTGACTCCAACTGTATTACACCAGGTAAGATAATTTGTTAATTATTTAAAATTAAGTGTTTAAGATTTATGTTTTTGCATCTATATTTTGACACTATTTTCCTATCCTAAGGCGTGGGGTTTTTTAAATTAGAGGACAGAATCAATAAAGGCTCAAGTAAGTTGGGAACACAGGTTTTAATAACTTTTAGTAAAGTTGGAATACTGTTTCATTCTAAATATTTTTTAGATTGCTATGGAAAAAATGAAACCTCTTGAGGAAAAAAACCAGCTGTCCCCTTCATTTCTTGCAGAATTTTTATTTGTTGTTTTTTTCATTAATACTTTTGATACATAAATGGAATTTTGAATGACTAGTGAAAAGCTTTGTGTTTAACTTAGATTTCTGTTTTCAGGAACTGAATTCATGGCCAGATTGCATGAACATCTTAAGTATTTTGTAAATATGAAGATTTCCACAGACAAATCCTGGCAAGGAGTAACAGTCTACTTATCAGGCCATGAGGTCATTGTAATTTGTAAAAATTTTATTTAAAATAATTTTTTATTTTATAGAAGAATACTTGCTGATGAATTTGGGGTTTTTTTGTGCAGACTCCGGGGGAAGGTGAGCATAAAATTATGGAGTTCATCAGATCAGAAAAAGCAAAGCCCCATCACGATCCAAACACAAGACACTGTCTCTATGGCTTAGATGCTGACTTGGTATGTGCAATCAACATAATATGAATGACAGACATTTATAAAGTGTGTATGTCTTTGATGTCTTCCTAAGTGCATAGGGTTCTAAAATGTGATTAAACAAGCATGTAATTTTGTATTCCTGCAAACTTTTGAATTGTAATGAAACAGAACAGCAAAATTTCTTTATACTGCTCGAATCTTAAAGTAACAGTTAAAAGAATAATGAAGTAAGACCTTTCTGATATCTCTTTGTAATAGATTATGCTGGGATTAACAAGTCACGAGGCACACTTTGCGCTCTTAAGAGAAGAAGTCAGATTTGGTGGTAAAAAATCTCAAAGGTGAACTGATTTAACTTTACTCTTATTTTATATACGATGAAATTAATCCAGAAGATACTGGGTCACTAAAACAGTTTGGTTTTTTTTTTTTTAGTTGATTGCATACTAAATTAAGAAATTCTCAGTTTATTTTTGTGTTAGAAAATACATGAAATTAGAGAAATCAACTTGGCAAATTATGCATTTGAATTCATTTGCATGAGAAAATGTATGCTGTCAGGACAGCTGATAAAAAAATCCTTAGAGCTTTCGTGTGTTGCGCTTCTTTCTTCATATTATGAATGGAGGGCTGCACTGACATTGTTTCCATAATTCTCCTCTGCAGATAGGGCTTTTTAAAATGTATTTATATCTCTGAGGTTTTGTGTATGTAAGTAAATTACTAGAATAACAACTAAAATAAACTCTCTTAAAGTGGCTGACTGGATGCTGTTATTCTGGATTTGCCCATTTGAACTAACTTGTGGGCTATAATCAGTCAGAACGAGGTGATTTGTTCCAGAACTGTGCATGTACATGGAGCTATTCTGAAGAATAGAAAAATTAATTTTACAGTTGTTACTGTGGCTAGGTTTGTTCTTTGAAGGACCTTAAGCATATATTTGGTGGATAAAGGGAGAAGGTGGAAAAGACAAATACACTTGTTTGATACAAAAAGGATTTTGGCTAATACAGTGAAAGTCATATAAATGTTTAGATAAATGCATCATTTTTGCTAATAAACAAATGTTTTTATTGCCAAGGACAATATGATAAACATCAGAAATAAGTATTCTTCTCATAGTCTTCCACAGTCAACTTTTCAGTAATACTCATTCTGTTGATAGTGTTGGCAGGTAACGTTGTAATGTTTTTAAAATACTTTAATCAAAGAAAAATGTCCTTTTTCCCTTTTTTGAAAATAAAATAATATAAAAGAAGTGTGGTGACCTTTTGAAGGATTAATTAAATAAAGTATGAAATCAAAAGGCAAGGTGTCTTTTTTTTTTTTTTTTTTAAATTTCCCTCAAGCATTGTTCCGTATTTGGCTCCTGTTGTAATTTCTGGATAATATTGCTCATTACAGAAATCTACTTCTGGAAGTTACAGGAATTGCCTTGTGTCAATTTTGTCACTTTTATGAGTACTTACACTTGGAATTTGAAAATACTAAAAATACATACAAATTAATACCTGTCAGCAGTTTCTTGACTAAGAGAAATTACTTGTTTTATCAGGATTTTCAAGTCCAGTGCAATAAAGAATAAGGGGCAACATGCCTCTAGAGGTCTTAGAGCATCAACCTGGCTTTGCCAATATGAAAAGTACATTTAAAAAGTGACAGAATTAGGTCTGAAGTTCTGTGCAGCCACGTGTAACTCAGAGTTCGTCTTGGTAGCCTTCATATAAGGCTTGTGTACCACACACATCTTTGTCAGAGGATTTTGGCCAAAATCTACTATGTATGTGTATGTGTGAATACACAGGTGTTTATGCAGGTTTGTTATTGGAGGTGGTCCCAGCTAGTTACAGTATCTACAAGGTGAAATAGTCCTTTACAAATTTAAAATACATCAGTCTTAAGCTCATTAATCTTTCGGTGTAGGTATTTACTGATCTCAGCCTAACGTTGGCTTAGGTATTAAGTAATTTTAGTGAAGAGAGGAAAAGAAGGCAGAATATATGTTGACTAATTTATGCCATAAACAAACAGTAGGTTTGTCATTTTTTTGATGCTGTGTTGAAGCCACTAGATAATACAGATGGAACATATTTTCAAGTTGAGCATATTGTTTTCTTACAAGAAGCATTTCAAATGACTGCAGATGTAACCCAGCCAGTTTAGACATGAATCTGTGTACTCTGTATGTACTCAGACTAGTTCTAAAACACCTTAAATGTATTGCGTTTGGTACAAAGTTAGGTTGTCCCTTTTTTGGACAATGGGATAATTACTTAGGAAATAGTTAATGCAGCATGGAACTCCACAAAGCTGCCCTGCTTTCTCTAAGCTATCTGTTTTCCATACAGTGCAGTCACATCTGCTGTTTAGAAGATTCTACTGCAAATTTTTACAGACTCAAACCAGATGAATCCTGAAATAGTTTCAAAGGAATGTTTATACATTATTTCTTCTGTGAGGATATAATCCTAGTAAGAGTACTTGGTTTTAGGTAACCTTGGACTTATTAAATATTAATGTTAAAAGTGTGTTTATAAATAATTAACGTAATGTTTTGAATAATTTACAGAGCATGTGCACCAGAGGAAACCACGTTTCATTTACTGCACTTATCACTGATGAGAGAATATATTGATTATGAATTTTCACCAGTAAAAGTAAGTTCTAGTGGAGCTATGATTGAAGAAATGTGTGATGTCTTTTTATGCAAACATGATAATAAAAGTTACGCTCGTGTGTTTTTTTTCTTTTTTTTTCCTTTTTTTTTTTTCCCCCAGGACAAGATTTCCTTTGAATATGATATTGAAAGGATAATAGATGATTGGATCTTAATGGGTTTCCTTGTAGGAAATGATTTTATTCCTCATCTACCTCATTTACACATTAATCATGATGCACTGCCGCTACTTTATAGAACATACATGGCTATCTTGCCAGAACTGGGAGGTAAGAACACAAACTTTAGTTGTGGAAAGTAGAAACGTTAACATTCCTGTGTTAATATTTATTGACCTTTTTAGCCATGTTAGAATGTTTAGTATTTATTACACTTTCTTTAGACAGCCAGCAAGATTGCATTCCATTATCTATGGGGCATTTAAATTGAAATTTTAAAATTGTTAAATTGTTAATTTAAAAAACATACTTTATTTTCCCAATAGGTTACATAAATGAAAACGGGCATCTGAATTTAAAACGCTTTGAGAAATATCTCACAAGATTGTCAGATGTAAGTAACTTCAAAATTATGGTATAGTCTGTTGAATATAACCTCAATATAGTGCCCTAAAATACACCATGCTGTATATATATTGCTAAGAAAAAAGATTTTTAATATTAATCTGTTAGTTTAGTTGCAGCTCTAGGGCAAAATGTTTATGTACAAATGACTCTAGATGTAATCTAATTCACCTACTAAAAAGACACTGTTAATTTAGTACTCTAAATTTGGCATCCCTCAAATATTTCTAAACTTACTTTAATCTTTTTACACAGTTTGATCGTGAACACTTCAGTGAAGTCTTTGTAGACCTAAAATGGTTTGAAAGTAAAGTAGGCAATAAATACCTCAACGAGGCAGCTGGTATTGCAGCAGAGGAAGCCAGAAAAAATAAACAAAAGAAACAAAAGGTTAGTGTTTTTCATGCATGGTTTTGGAAATAAGAATGTTACTTTCTGCAAATCAGTAATTTGATCTTAGACAAATTAAATGGCATAAATCTGTTTTGAGATCTTTTTGAGATCACAAAAGGTAGTAAAACGTAACATTTGAGGAACTGCCTGTATGCATTGCTGGTTGTGAGTGACGAAATGGTTAAGTCAAGGTCAAGTTCTCATGTTTCTTGAAATCTTGTAAACTTGTAAGTTAATGCTTTATGTCATCAGTTTATGTGTTCCTCAGCAGCAGCAAAACTTAGTTCTGGGTGAGTTATGGTCAAACTTGCTATACTTTATAATTTTACTTTTCAATGCATAGCCTGCTGGAAGTTTGATATATTTCAGATACACTGATAGGTCATTCATGCATGTCTTGGTATTGGCCGACTATTTGACAATTAATAGATATACAGCCATTTCATTGGTGTGAGCTATCTCAGATTGCTTGTTAAACTTGCAATTCTAGATATAACTGATTAGGAACAGTGCCTTTCTCTGGATCTTGACTCTGCCCCACTGTCACGTTCCCAACCACCGCTTCCATTGGCTATCCTTCAATATATGCCTTCAGCACAGTGTAGAGTAGCAGCAGGAAACTCCTTCATCTGTCACTGTGTATCGTTATCCTGTTCTTTAGTGCAGTTTGTGGTTTGTAAGAGCAAGATGTTAGCTCTTCCTTTAATAAGGTATGCTTTATTTGTGGTTGTTTTCTTATTTGCCACAGAAGTTTGGAGCAGCTGTATAGTATTAGCTAGCCATCTTGACTGATCCTTTGAATGGCAGTGACAGTCAGGAGCTTGCATATCTCAGGTACAGGGGAAGAGGGCCAACTTAATGATTCTGCTTATTGAAAGCTACTCAGTGCCATACACAAAAGATAGTGTGTAGTGTGAGAATGAAGTGAATGCTTGGCTTGTTTGACTCTAAAAGACAATTTCTTGTATCCTTACTTCCCACAAAAGTAATTTGAACTCTTAAAAATTTACTGCGTAAAAATTTGATTGCTGTAGCACAGTGCATGATGTAGGTAAAAATGCTTAAATGTGTACTGCGTGGTTTTGGAAATAGTTGTATTTTGGAAAACAAATATTCAGATATTTTGTAAAGGTAGTTGAGATTTTATTTGAGACTGCTCCTTTGTCTGATCTGTATGGATAAAATAATTTTCCCTAGGCAGTTACAGGAGAAGGAAATGTAGTGGGGTTTATACTAAATAATAATAATAATATTTATACTTCTTGATTATAGCATTTTGAGTTGCAGATTATGTGGTTGTGCATGAGGTATGTGCATATTATTCTGTATTTTTACTTTATCTCAAATATTAATTTAATAGGCTCAGGAAAATTCTATATGTTTGGCTGCTTTAGAAAAAAATGAAGGTGAAGTTGTGACCCCTAAAAGTAAGTGCAAATAGTTTTTCCGTATGCATATAACAGAAAATCTTGTTAATTTGTGTAGAGATTTGAAAGATCTGTAAGAATTTCGTGTCAGAGGTGACCTTAATCTAAATGAAAGAGTTATGTAGTCGGCTATTGGGGAAATGGAACTGCACATCACTGGCTTGTGGTGAGAGGGAGTGGGGCTAAAGCTTTTGAAGTGCTTCTTACTTGACCAGTATTTCAATGATGAATTAAAGGAATGAATGAGCAAATAGTCAGCAACATTATGGTTTTGATAATTGTATGCCTAGGTATTTTATATGATACAGGTGGAGACAAATGAACAGATTTTTATATGTCTTTGGGGTTTTTGGTTGCATTGATTATGTTTTTTAAACTCATTCCACTTGCAGGAAGGTCTCTTTTGCTCATGTTTTGAAATTGAATGTCAAAAATGATAAATATTACTCCATTGATACGATGTTGCTGAAAAAAGATTAAATTTTAAAATTTATTTTAACATTTTCTTAAATTATTTTCTGATGGCTTATATCTCTTCTCTATTCTTGTAATTGGGCTACAAAATGGGTTGTCTGCCTTTAAAGGGAGAAGAAAAATGTTCCAGACTTTCTCCGGGTAAAAATTTCGTTTGATTGTTTTCATGTTACTTTCAGTGCAAGGAAGGTATAAGCACCTGTAACTGTGAATTGAGGAATAAAGTTAAGGCATTAAGTCAAAACTGAATGTCCTCAAACTTTACTGTAGTAGGGAAGTGAATGTTAATCCTTTTTTCTTTTTTTTCATTACTGCTTTTTCAGCTGTGTTGGAAGATGAACCAGAAGATGATGATCTGTTTGAAACGGAGTTTAGGCAATACAAAAGAACATACTACATGACTAAAATGGGCGTAGAAGTAGTTTCTGAGTAAGTGTATGCTATTCTTTTTTCTAAAAAAAAAAAAAAAAGAAAACAAAAAAAAACCCCAAAACACCAAAGACAAGTCTTTGCATATGTCTTATACAAGACAGAATATTCATGTTGAAAGCAGAAAACACGTGGCAGTGTACTGCAGCGGCGATGCGTTTGGCTAATGCAAGAAGAGCTGCAAGTCAAGTTTTCTGTAACATGTATTTGAGCACCAGAGAGAAAAAATCCATTAGTATTAAATGAATCTAGAAAATCGTGGTCTTACTAGGTTCCCAAAATGCTCTGTCTTCATTCCTGTGTACCAAGGTGCCAAGTAATTTTTATATACCAGTGAAAATGAGAAAAACTAATAAGTATCTTTCCTTTTTCTTTTAAGTGACTTCTTGGCTGATCAAGCTGAATGTTATGTCCAGGCAATACAATGGATTTTGCATTATTATTACCATGGAGTTCAGTCATGGAGCTGGTAAGAAGAACTGTCAAATGAGAAATTGCTTAAAGATTGAGCAATATTTCACGTTATATTCTGGGAACATTTAATGTAGTTCTGTTCGTTTCTGATCTGTGAACACTGCTGTGCTATAATTAAGTCAAGTAACTTAAGAGGTTTTTTTTCCCTGCAGGTATTATCCTTATCATTATGCACCTTATCTGTCGGATATTCGCAACATTGGCGAACTCAAAATCCAATTTGAACTGGGAAAACCTTTCATGCCATTTGAACAGCTTCTTGCTGTACTTCCAGCAGCTAGCAAAGATCTGCTACCTAAATGCTACCAGGTAGGATTTAGAATTAAATGGCATTTATCTATCGCTTATAGGTTGTCTGCTTTATTTTGAAATAACTCTTTTCCTGATATTTTTGTATGTCCTCTTAGTTATATTCTACCCCTAAATTTTAGGTGTATGGTTAAGTACTTCTATTTCTTTACTATTTTTAGTACATTGTAAAGTTAGTAATAAATATAAAATTTTGCATTTTCTAAGCAATTTCAGACTAGGACAGTTAAATGATAAATGTTGAATTCCTGTTCAGCCTTGAATTGGTTTTAATACCAGCCTTCTTTTCCTAGAATTAGTGCTAAATTGTCTCTGATGTTGTTTAATTCCTCTATTGTATTTTCCTAGCATTTGATGATCAGTCAAGACTCTCCTATTATAGAATATTATCCACCGGATTTCAAAACTGACCTAAATGGCAAACAGCAAGAATGGGAAGCGGTAGTATTAATCCCGTTTATTGATGAGGTAAGTTCTTTCAACGTCTGCTGTCTATAAAAGCTTCATAACATATCTGCTAAACTTCATAATTAATGAACAGTTAGACATGCAATTACATGGAAGTTTAAATTAACACTTGATAAGACCGTAGAAAGATAGAGATGTTTGCTAGAGTAAGGCTAGATAAAGTTACCACAAGCAAAGTTAGCTTTGAGTGGCACAAGTCTGAAGTAAGGGATGTGGACTTTTTTTTTTTTGTTTGCTCATGTTTTTAATCAGCTATTCAAATATTTAGTTGCAGATTTTTTTGAGAAAAAAAATGTATTCCTGTGTGCATATAAAAATACAGAATGTCTGTAGGTAAAAAAAAAGAAACACTTGGAAAAAAACCCCAGTCTTTTTACAGAAAATCTCTTCACATGAACACTAGTAATGGGTAGAAGACTTTCAGCGCAAATCAAACAGTAAAACATTAATAGAGAGGAGTAAAATAGTAATGTTTTCCTTTTGCATATAGGATAACAGTATTACATACGTTGTTGTCTTCTATCAGATTAAATAGAAGTCTTCTATCTATCAAAGAGTGGATGAAAATAAAAGTGCAGATTAGATGTTAAGATGTATACAGGTGGCGGCCTGTGCCTATCGTTTCCATAGTTTGCAGTGAAAGATTCACAGGACTTAGTCTTCTCACAAAAGGCAACAGTTGCTACTCAAATGACCCATAAGGTTTTGAAGCTTTTTCAATAGTTACTTTGCAGAATTTTATGATAACATCTAAAATCTTTTTAATATTTCTTTGTATGTTAAACGTAAAAGGCAAACTATGGCTAGCCTTTGGAAACATATTTGCAAAAAGGTAATCTTTATTCTCCAAAGCCATTCCATTGTAATTGTCCTGTTTTTATCAGAGAGCTGGGACATGAGGAAGGGTGAGGCTGCAATTAGAAAATTAACAGGTTAACCAGAAAAGTGCAGGTATCCACTTTCCCAGTGTGGATGTTTCATGCTAATTTTTGTTGCCAGTTTCACATACGCTAATTTCTCTAAAATTTAGAAACGACTGCTGCAGGCCATGGAATCCTGTAATAAGTGCCTAAAAGAAGAGGAGAAACGAAGAAATACTCACAGTGCTTGCTTAATGTACTGGTATGACAAAGATGCAGAGTTCCAGTACATGTCACCATGGCCAGAGAAATTCCCTGCGATAGAAAGATGTCATACAAGGTAACACTGGCATAACTATTTTAGACTAGACTAAAAGTAGAATATTTTTATTAGCATTTTAACTAAAGCTTCTATATGCCAATATATACACTGAAAAATGTAAAATGTTGACTTAATTGTTACTTGTTGTGGATGGCACAGTATAAAAGTATTTGTCCCTTTTCTTCAACTATTACTTTGCAAAACAGATGAACCAATGCTAAGTCAGCAAGAACACTCGAGAGAATTAATAAACTTTGTATGACACAGAGGGTGAAAGACTGATACAAATATCTGATAATAGTGATGATTTATCAGCACGCTAATTCCAGACCATTTGTAAAAAAAAAATGTAAGCATTTGGATCCAGTGCAGAGTTGAACACAAGTGTGGTGTTCACTTTCCTCTCACTGAAAGTAGCCAGCTTTATTTAACACAGGCTGAGGTTTCAAGATTAAATGGAAACATAACCTTAATAGTAGTCAAACTTAAATCAAAATAGGGGAGAAATGCCTGTTGCAGGATTACACTCAGTGAAGAATTAATAGTTGTGAAGATGAGTGATACTGTATGGAACCATTGCTAGTTTAGAATTTGACAATAACAGTGAATTCAAATAGTGAGACTGGGACATACCATGGCTTGAAGCTTTGTCTTTTTCTTAATGAGTAGTCTCTTTGCAGCAATAGCATTTTTTATAGGGTTTTTCTAGTCCTTTGTGTAGGTTCCAAGTGGCTTAAATTAATTGCCACCTTACAGAAAAGTCAAAGGGTTTGTCAATTAATGAATGTTTGAATGAGTAATGAGAGTTTCTAGAGCCAAAGGTCAATCTGTTTGAGCAAATGTTGTGCAACCTGTTTTTTAGGTATAAAACAATACCTTTGGATGCTTGGCACGTAGAAATAACCCACAATAAGATAACTAAAATCAACAAGAGTGCATTATATTTTTGTGGATTTCCTACTTTAAAGCACATTAAACATAAGGTAAAAAATTTCTTTCTTCTGACATTTTCAATTGTATTTAATAGATAACTATGTAAGAGTTAAGTTTTATGTGCTGTTTTGTTTTTACCCAGTTCTATCTTAGAAAAAGTGGTGTACAGGTGTTTCAGCAAAGCAGCCATGGAGAGAACATGATGTTAGAAATCATAGCTGATGAGAACTCAAAAGAACAGGTAAGCATTCAGCTCCTAACAAAAAAACAAAACCAAAAAAACCCAGACAAAAAAAACTTGTCATAAAAAGACTGAACTTGTTAAATAGTCAGATTTGAAGTGTTGGTTATTTATATCTTAGTTAGTTATATCTTGGTTAGTTATATATATTTTTTCAATAGTGTATTATAGGAGAAAAACATTTAGCATTGTACTGAGAAAGTTCAAAAAAAATTTTTAAACCCAAACATCTCTTAAAAAAAGAATAGTTAAATATATTGAATAGTTAATTTAAAAGAATATCTTTAGGTTTTTTAAAACTATTTAACTAGTAATGCTTTGATTTCAAAATGAGCTTCATGTATAAGTTGTTAAAATTTGATTGATAGAAAGGAAGGTGAAATACGGCTTTATGCTCAAGGCCATAGAATTAGCTGCTGGAGTAACAGCTCTGAAGTTCTCAGCTCCCAGCCCAAAATTCAGACTATTAGGTGGTAATATTCTTGAAAACATCAGCTGAATCAGTTCACTGAAAACATCCACAGTATTAGTTCACACTGAAAGCTTTTGTTGACTATTGGAGTCAATAGTAAAAAATAAAGTTCATTAGGCTTAAAATACTAAATTCTTGCAGGGAACAGTCTAGAATTTTGTGAATCTGCTGAAAGATAAAAATTTATCCTGACTTCAGAATATTAAATGTCAGTCGCCTTAGTAGAGTTTCTGGCATTTCTCTGTGGTAGCCATCACATGTTCTCAGGTAAGGAGTTGGTGAGACTCACTCCTGACTAATTAACAGTTGGAAATGGAGTAAATGCAAGGAAGCAGAGTTTCCAGACCAGTGCCCCCGTCTTTTGTGTAGCTGAGTATGTAGACACTTTTCTTTTTTTAATCAGTCCCTTTTCATCAACAGCAGTCTCACACCTTCCACTTAAATGAGACTGTTTGATAGAGGAATTAGAAGAAAGGGCTGATGCAGAGACATTAAGAAGCAAAATATTTCTTCTAAATCCTTTACAAGCCAGCTCTATTTTGTAATCAAAAATATCAGGTAGCAAAAGACAGATCCAGGAAAAGAAAAATATTTTGGAGATAAGCAAATAAATAAAACCAGGGAAGGAGAGAGAAGGAAAACAACAAGATAGGATTTTACAGCAGAGAGATAGGGGGAGTGAATTTTCATGATACGTGGCAAAGAGCATTTAGTAAGCCACAATAATAGATTAAAAAATAGCGGATACTCATTGGAGAAATGGAACATAATGTGAGACTAGAATTACAGATGCTAGCAAGGTCCTGGACATAAGTGCTGTTTCTTTATTCTAGTGAGATACAATAGTAAAATCTATGGTACAAAATATTTCACTAATTTCAAATTGTCGGTTTGATTATTGTGTCCCACAGACACAAATAGTTCTAAGTGATTTAACAAAAAAAGTACATAGTAAGCCTATACCAGAAATGTAAATCAACCTGGTCTTACAACTAGCATATGCTATATGTAAAGAGCCACACTTGGAATACAATGCTTTGTCCTAAAAAATGAAATATGATTCTCAATTTCTAATCAGAGATTATGTAATGTGTATCAAAATGTAATTTAATAAGCTAAAACGAGCTTTTTATTCTGCAAGAAAGCCTGTTCTTTTAACTAGATTAGTTTTTATTGAAAAAACAGTTCAAATATATGTTAACAAAAATCTTGTGATATGTTAAACAATTAGTCATAGTAACTTCTGGGTTTTTTTCAGATGGTAGAAAATGTTGCCAGTTTGGTACTTGGAAGGCGTGTTTTTGTTAACTGGCCACACCTTGAAGAAGCCAGAGTTGTTGCTGTGTCAGATGGAGAAACTAAGTAAGAGACATTTCATAGATAGTTGTTTGTTGTCTTTATTGTTTTATTCAAAATAAGTTCCTTAGGCTGTAAAAAAGTTTTGGTTTTATTGTAATACTTGCTAGCAGCAAATTAGTCCAAATGTGTCAAAGGTGACTTGGTGGAAGAAGCTTTGTTTACCATCATTCTGAGGTTTGGTTATCTCTGCAGAAGTCTAGTCCTTCAGTATTTTGCTACAGTTGTGGAAGTTTGGGAGAGCTCATTCTTAACTTTGAGGGAAAAATGCATGCACAGAAATCCATGCAGAATAATGTAAAAAAAAAAAAAAAGAACATTTCTATACAGTCTTCCTTTCAGCACCTGCACTGGTATTTTTTTATAAAAATATGCTGTGTGATCTGTTGCAGAAGGGGTAGAGAAATGATGCTGCAAGTCTTCCATGTCCTTAACAAGTAATTTCTAACTATTTTAAGTTTTGCTCACAATTAGTTATGTCTGGATTAATCTTATCTGGTTAAATTCATACCTGTCATAATATTCTCAAGGTTTTATTTGGAAGAACCACATGGCACACAGAAGCTTTATATGGGAAATGCAGTGCCCCCAACTAAAGTGGCATACATTGGAGATAAGGAACAAAGCATGTGGTTAAAAGAAGTTCAAGGCATTTCAGAGCAGTAAGTAACTTTGAAAATTAAAGTGTAACTTCGCATTTTATAGCTTAGGTACGTTTTGTTGCTGTATTACAGACCTAAGTAGCAGAGAAGAGCTGCTGCGTCCTTGATGATAAGGGTTAATGAGTCTGCTGGAATTTAAAAAAAACAACATAAAAGAGCTTATGTTGAAATTTCAGAATATATGGAGTTAGTCCCTAGTTATTTAAAGTTAGATGCTGTTACAAAAGATTTCTGAAATGAATGAGTTTCAGTATTTACTATCCCAGTCAATTCTCTGTTCTGGTCTTACTCAGTTGCAGAAAATATATAGAATGGACTCATACAGTATCAAGTTAAGCTTCAATAGCTTAGCATTGTTAAATTTGAATACAGCTCTTGCTCTTCTAGAGTGTGGGTGCCCAGTGGAACACAACTGAGTTACAGTAGCTTGCCATTTTGTTATCTGTCATTTGAGTTAACTGCCTTAATTACCCCTAACCCTTCCCACTGTAAAGGTAAAATGTGTTTAAATTAACACACTTAGCTTTGTAGTGATGGCTGTGCAACAACGGATAAGCAATTGCATAAGCCATTTATTCTGGGTAGTTTTATAAAACAGGAAGCACTATTAGAGTCCTTTTATTAAAAGTTGGGTTTTTTTTTTAATTTCAAGAAATTAATTCCACCCTCTTGGTTCAGTTGTGTTTATTGTAATCAGTCTAAATATTCTGTTTTGTATTTAGCTACCAGAGAAGAAAAGGAATAATTATTCATGAAACATCAATAGTTGTATATGCTCAGTTACTCACTGGTAATAGATATCAACTAAACCAAAATGGAGAAGTTTATTTGGAGAAACAGTGGTCAAAACAACTTCTTCCTTTTGTTTACCAAACTGTTGTCAAGGTAAATACACAGGTTTAGTATCTTCTTGCACAAAGCTCCTTACTCCATGGGGGGGCGGGCGGGGTGCATGCTCCTTTAAAACGGAAGAATGAACAAAACTTAATGAGCATCTTAAATTAATACAATTTATTGTATAAAAAAAATGTAACGTGCTTAGGCAAGTATTTTGTCACAAAATTTGGGACCCTGTTGCACAGTTTAGAGATCTTACTGATAAAATGGCTTTTGTCACCTTTTTATTGATGATATTTTGAATGAAGTACAGTAGCGGTGCTGTACGAGGTAGCATAATTGCTTGTGTAACAGCATTTGTAATATAGCATTAACTTCTTTGCCTTCAATTAATTAGTTCAGACAGATAATGTTTTAGAATAAGTGTCTATTTATATGAACTTGCAAATATTCTACTGGAACTGAATGATATTTAACATTATCAATTTTGTCTTTTTTATGTAGGATATCAAAGCCTTTGACTCTCGTTTTTCAAACATCAAAACTTTGGATGATTTGTTTCCTCCTGGAAGTACAGCCTTTATGCTGGGATCTCCTTACTATGGCTGCATGGGAGAAGTTAGTTTCAACAATTCTTCATTAAAAACCCCCGATTTCTTTACTTATTAGCCTAAAATAATCTAAGATTTTGTGTGGCAGTAGTGGTCATTTGCTAGCTAAAACTTTAAATCAAAGATTCCCTGATGGTTTAGTCAGAGGAGGAGGGGGTGGTTCTGCTTTCCCTATCACTGTTGATGGCATAACAGGAAAAAGGTAGTGTAGCTTGAATGCAGGCTTATTTTTATTAATTATATGGCATAATTTGCAATACATAGAGTTCCCATTTTGGGCTATTTTCAGTCACGGATTCCTTTGATTTAGTGCTGTTTGATTGCCTCTATGAGGACGCAGTGTACGGGTCATGGCAAGATGATGAATCCCAAAGCATCTTTGTGCCTACTGCAGCAAAATTGTTGATAACGTACACTGCAAGGTCTAGTATCCAGAGACTGCTGTTTTTAAATAACATTTTTAATGTGTTGTGTTTCTCTCCAAGGTTCAAGATTCACATGACGTGATCACAGAAGGTAGAATTCGTGTGGTTTTCAATATTCCATGTGAACCCCAGCTTGATCCTTTAATACAGAACCAGCATGTAAGTGCTTCTGGTTTTCTAGTAAAAGCTTAAACAATGTGTCAAATATATTTTGCAATGGTAAATGTCTTTAAGGGATGCTTCCATGTTACTCATTTGCCTTTTGTATAAAAATCCTTATCCTTTGGGAATTGCCAATATTTTTTGTTTGTTTGTTTTAAAGAAATATTCTGTGAAATACAATCCTGCATATATTTTGGCCAGCCGTCTTGGAGTAAGTGGATATCTTGTCTCCAGATTTACAGGGAGCATCTTTATTGGAAGAGGATCAAAGAAAAAGTAAGTTCTTTGTGAATTTTGACTGTAGAGAAGCTTCTAAATTCTAATACAACTCTACAGAATTTCTGCTAAGTTTAAGTCCTGTTCTTATCAGGTGTATAACTGTTTTGTGATGTGAAGCTTTCTTTAAAGTATGTTTGCTGTAAAGTAAATTCATATGCAGTGTTTTGCTCTCCTATCATAAACTTCTTTTTAATTTTTGTTTACTGGAGAGTTGTTCTGTTGGCTTTAGTATTGTAGAAAGGCATAAATTGACTTTCCTGGTTAGCTATTTGCATAATTGAAGCAGGAGTTTGAACTGACTTTGCCACACTGCAAATAAAAAGTGGAACTGGGATCTAGTTTCATTATACTTACCATTATTGCTAGTATAAAGGGATACTAATTGTACCTGTAATTTTTTTGAGGAACTCGCTAAGACTGAAACTGCTTAAAATATACAGGGGAGGCCATCCCTTTAGTTTTCTGAATGTCAGACTTGTGGTTTCCTAGGACAGCTCACTAAAGAAGTGGTTGATGCATGAGCATCTTCTTGTGATTTACTGATTGTTCAGAAACATCCTTCTACATCCTGGTAAATGCCAGGTAGATTGTGGATGATTAGATCTCAGTTAAGGAAGAAGGGTAAAATATTCCCTACCTTCCTTTGCAATAAGGTATGGGCATGCATGTGGCGGCTGCTGTAGCACAGCTTATGTCCTGTAACACTTACAGCTGTTGCGATGCTAACAAGTAAACAATACAATGAGTTTAATTTTTCTGTGGTTTAATGCTGAGGATGTATGTTTATGTGTTTTTTAATGTATGTACACAGACACATATATGTTATTGCAAGTTAGTAAACTTTTTCTTATTTCCAGTCCTCATGGAGATCACAAAGCAAATGTGGGGCTAAACCTGAAGTTCAATAAGAAAAATGAAGAAGTTCCTGGCTATACTAAGAAAGTTGGAAATGAATGGATGTATTCTTCTGCAGTAGAACAACTACTTGCTGAGTATTTAGAAAGGTAAATATTGGATATGATCTTCATCCAAATTATCCACCTTCATATCAGTCTTCAGGTTTTGTCCTCTGGACACAGATCTTCTAAGGATGAGTTTGCTTTTGGAGATTGCTTGATGGGATTTCTTTTTTTCCAGTATTCTCCTTCCAACAGTGTCTTCTTCCAAGGAGAAGCATGTTTTGGGATAGAGTTGTCAGCATCTTACCCTTGACAAATGAACAGTGTGACACTAAATTAAGTAAAAATAAAAAAAAAAAAAAAAAAAATCTGTCTGGGCTCCAGAAATTTTGGACCCTGCCAGACTTTGTTTGGATGAGGCTCTTTTGTGGTCTGTGCTGATACGAAATTAAATTTCTCTGCCATTTATTTATTTTTTAGGGTCCCTGAACTATTTAATTATATAGCCAAGAATAGCCAGGAAGATATCTTCTATGAAGATGACATTTGGCCTGGAGAAGATGAGAATGGGTAAGCCATCTTAAGCAGAATAAAAGCTGACAACATCGTGAAATTGGTGGTGATCGTATAGTGGCTGCTATGTAACTGAAACCTTGCTGTTCCTTCAGCAGCATGATTGTTCAGTGACTCTGAAAAAATTACCAGAATGTTTTACTTTCCAGTTCTGGAGTCCAAGTCTCTGTCAGACTTCTATCTTGGCTCCAATAAATAAGAAATCTAATTTTTGATGGCTACTTCATAATTCTTGCTTTTAAAGTAACCTTCAGTAAGCATAGTTATGAATAGTCACAAAGTCACCAAAAGATCATTCTTGAAAAATAAGCAATAATTATTTTAATTGCTTAAGATCACTTTGAATTTGAAGAATAACATGTATAGAATTTAAAGTACTTTGCACATTTTAGTATATATTCAGTCAGTTTCGTGGGAGACAAGGAGCAACCTTGGTTCCAGGTACAGTATAGTAACATTAAAAAAGCTTTTATTATTAGCTACTAAGCCCTGTTCACAGGCTTGAGTTGGTAAGTCTGCATGATGATGCACTCTGCAGGACTCTTACCAGGCAGATATACCATGTGGGACTCTTCTATTATAAGAATCTCAGGTTTGTGCTCCATTTTACCAGAGAGGCATGGCCTGAAGTCCTTTCTTACAGTGTTGTGAGAAACAGCTGGTCACAGAACCTTTAATCACAGCTGGACATGGTTGGTTGGTTGGATGCAAATGTAATTTACTGAATGCTTCTAAATAACTTCCAATTTTTTTTTTTTTTTTTGGCTAAGACAACACTTCAGGTTATAGGTTTGAAACAGCGTTGCAGGAGTCCAATTTTTTTTTTTTTGACCCCTATTGTAAACTCATAGAGAACTCTTAAATTCTGTTACTTTATGAATGTATGAGAGCATTGTGCCTATATCTGATACTTGACTGATTGAATCAGGGAACATGGTAAAATGCTTAGTTTATGCAGTTAAAAGTTTTAATTCATGTCCTTTTTTATTTAGAGCTGAGAAAGTTCAAGAAATTGTTGCCTGGTTAAAGGCACATCCTGTGTCTGCTTTGTCTCGCTCATCCTGCGACTTGCAAATTTTGGATGCAGCCATTGTTGAGAAAATTGAAGAAGAAATAGAGAAATGCAAGGTATGCAGCTTGACATCATTGTGAGCAGGGGTGAACCAAAAAGCAGGTGCTCTTTATTTTCCAAGTTCTTGAATTAGAATGATTGAAGATTACTTGTCATTCCAAAGAAAAAGAATACAGAATGTAATGCAAGATCTGAATTTGTAATGTGAATTGTCCGAGAAATTCAGAAGAGCTCATTATTAATCTTTGCAATAGACCTCACTCTTTTTGAGGCGATTCAGCAGCCATACTCTGAACTCTGCCTTTTGGTGATTTCAGAAAGGAACAGGTGTCAGGATATATTCTGAACTACTGAAGTGCTGTTTCTAAGTGCAGTCCCAGCTGTTCTTCCCTTGCAGTTTCTCTTTGGTCTGAGGAAACTTAGAAAGTTGTTTCCTGAAGGCCCCCAGATCAAAAAAGGGGCCAAGGAAATTACTAAAGCAAAAGCTAAAGGCAAAGCCACATGAAATAATGGGCTGATTTCTCTGAAATTGCTTGCAAGGACATTATAATAAAATTGGTGTGAATTCTGGAATTAGCCAAACAGTGCAAAAGCTTCGGTAAGAAATCAGTCATGTTTTAAAAACTGGACTTAGTCATCCTAAAGAATTCATGAAAGCTGTATACCTTTATCTAAAAGAAACAAAAGAATTCTACATTACCTTTTCAGGTGGCTTTTCTTTTACCTGAAATCCAGTGTTGGTTTCTACACTAGTTTGTAATGACTTTCTGTTCCTTTTCTTTAGCAGAGAAAGAGCAACAAGAAGGTGCGAGTAACTGTGAAACCCCATTTGCTGTACAGAGTAAGTGATATGAAGAGGGTTTTTTTTTTTAGAAGTTGTCCAGATCGTATTTATTTTACCTAAGCTTACCAACTTTCAGAGAGTGGAATTTTAGGACAGTATTGATGGAAGAAACAGTTTTATGATGCCTTCTAGAAAATCAATTTGAGAACAGCAGTGTGTCTCTAAAAGGAGAGAATTTCTACCAAGTACAAGCTCCGTCATGTATTATACTGACTTTCAGTTCTTTTCTACCTTCTGTCCTTCATGCTTCTTACTGGCTGTATAATGAAGACAAGATAAAATGTACTTCCCATTTGTCTTTTCTTCACTGTTTTGCTTTTTGTTCAGTTCTTGACATATGACCATCTGCTCATCTTGCCTGGTATTTCACAGATACCCATGTTACTGATACAGGCAGGTTACTCTTGATGGTTTTATTTTGCCTAAATTGATCCCCTTGGTCTGTCTTGGGTCATGTACAGCAGTGTTGTTTCTTGGGCAGAAGCAGTGAGAGTTGCAAGAAAAAAAAAAAAAGTTTGCTTTCTGTCTGGGGAGGCAAGATTCTGTGTTCTTAAACAACTTATTTTTTCCAGAAAGTTTGTTTTATAGTGTGTTTCAGATATTGTTATAAATACATTTTGATTGTAATCCTTTTTTTTGCAAACATTAACACTGTCTTTTGGTTATTGTCAGCCATTAGAACAACAGAATGGGGTTGTTCCAGATCGAGATGCAGAGTATAGGCTGTTTGACCGTGTTGTCAATGTGAGAGAGAACTTTTCCGTTCCAGTTGGTCTTCGAGGTACCATTATAGGAATTAAAGGAGGTAATATTTTCTTTGTAATTGTAGCATTATAGCTATATAACAGCTCAGCTAGTGATGTGAAAGCAGGCTTCAGAAAAGTGTTTTGTATAATGGTTGTGAATGCACAGAAATTTCTCACCTATGAAGCATATGCAACTTGAAGCTGCTAGTGACATATTTACTGTTTTGAATTAAACCTACAGGTATTCTATTTTAATTTCATGTGTTATACAGCTGTACTTTGAATAAGAAATTACTTACCCTTTGTTCCTTCTTAATATGAAGAAGGCAGAGAGATCAATGAGAGAGAACACAGGCTGCAAGAAAGGAACAAAATGAAGTTGTGGGAAGATATGGGCCAAGTTAAGAGAAGTAGAGATAAAAACAAAAGTAGAAGCCTTAATACTTAACATTGAACATAAAATTTTATCAAATATGATTTGTCTCAAATTGTTTTATTTGGAATTTGGTTTTTACTCTGTGATACTCCCATTTCCGTTAAATGGCATGGATTTATACCTTCTTTGACAAGAAGATTATCCGTAAATATATTTCAGGTAAACAGAAGGATTTACCAACTCACATTGGGTGTAGCAGTTTGAGATCTAGTAATAGAAATTGTTTTCTTACCTGGCATTTAAGTAGTCACTTTCTCATTCAGTTTGTATCCAGCAGAATCTTGAATAGACTAGACTTGAGCGCAGCTTTTTTAAAGAGGTGTTCTTTTCTCCATAATGATTATATACTAGTATAATTTTAAAGGAGTATTAGTCTAGCATTATGCAAGAAGGTAATGTTAAAGCTGTTGGTTTCCGACTGCCTAATGTAAAGATAGCTTGCATCTCTTTTCTGGTAGTTGCTGACAACTGTGACACACTGCTACAAATTGCAGTTCTGTTAATGTAGGTTGATAAGGTATTATGCGCAGTACTTTTCTGTTAAAAGTATATCTAAAAGGGCAGCCATATATGACTTCAAGAAGAATTTCTGAATTGCTGTTAATGAAAGGCATGAGGAATTTTTTGTTGCTAATTAGTTAGGTTTTTGTCTTTTCATTATTTATTGCATAACTAATATATTTACATAATTTAGATGAAAACAGCTACTGTTACATATATAGGATGACGTTTTACTTCATTTTTTGTAGCCAGTAGAGAAACAGATGTGCTCTTTGAAGTTTTGTTTGATGAAGAATTCCTTGGAGGCCTTACTATAAGGTTTGTGCAGGGGGTTTCATAGTCATTTCATGCTATTGGTATTGATGGCATGAAATTGTTGCCTTTGGTTTGGCTGACTGTTTTTAATGCCTCTTTTTAAAACTTTGTTTCTCAACAGTGTTGGTCAATTTTTTGAGTAGGGATAATTTTTATGAAGCATATTGTATTTTGGAAATGCTCTTTAGGCTTTTTTGTGTATTTAGAAGCTTCTGATTTGTAGAAAGCAAATATGAACCAGCAGAATAAAGTACTAGATCCAAATATGTCTAAAACAAATATGTAGAAAATGGGTTGTTATCAGTATGTCTTTAACATATAGATTAAAAATCATAAGTAATCATCTGTTCCTCTAAAGGAGGGACTCTGAACTACCAATAATTGATACTTAGGCAATAAATTCTGACCACCATTAAAAACCTAAACTGTTCTTCAGGAGGTGGAGGCATGGTTAATGCTTTTGTTTTAAAAAGTGTGATAACTTTTCTGTATTTAAGTAAGCAAGTAAACTTCTAAGTGTGCTAATTCACCCAGCAAGCTTCATTTTACTGTTCTTCTTGGATAAATTAAGTTTTTTAGGACAGAAATTAGAGGAGAATCTTACCTGTTCCCTGCGGTCAGCAAGCATAACACAATCCTGTCCCTTGCAAGAGCATGTCGTGTAACACAGATAATCTTCAGTATTCAGAATCATAAAGGAAGTTACAGAAGTGACTAAATGCTGCTTAACTTCAATTTATAATTCTGCTACCAGCTTCAGTTACTGTCTCAGAAAAAGAAAAGAATATTGTTTCCTGGTTCATGATTTTTTACAGAAATATTTACTACAGAACTATGCTATAACAATCCACTCATCTTTAAAATTTCTTTGAGCTGAGCACTGAAGGGTACAGCATAAACTCAGAGTAGTAGCAATTACTGTTGTTTTCTGGTTTTGATAGCCAGAGGCCAAAGGGGAGCACAATGGGATTGACATTGTGTGTAATGGTACTAGATTTCAATATTGGATACAGTTTTCAGTCTCTGCTGTTCAAACTTAAATCATTATCTTTTGGCAGAGAGGCAAAAGTGTTGTTAAATCAGATATATTGAAATGTCAACAATTAAACTACACGAAACAACTATGTAATTTGCTTTTCTTAAGGTGCTCGCCTGCGAGAGGTTATCGTCTGCCATCAAGTGCCTTAATTAACCTGTCTCATGGTAGTCGGTCAGAAATGGGAAATCAAAAACTGACGGCCATAGTTAAACCTCAACCAGCTGTGAATAACTACAATTCATATGCATCTGATCTGTCATCTGTATGCTCACAAAAAGTGCATCTGGGAGGCCTCAACCATTCTCCTCGCTCTCTTTTTGTTCCTACTCAAGTAAGGTTTTTGTTTCGCTTGTACAAAAATGTTTTTCCATAGAAGCTGAATTATGACCATGGTTGTTATCTTCGTTGCTACAAAAAAAAATTAATTTTTATGTCAGTATATTAGAAGTACAATAATCCTTATCTTGGAGAAATGAGTTAATCCAATAATGAAAGGGACCAAAAGTTCCTTATTGACAGTTGTTTTGCTCTGAGTAGCTCTGGCTGCATTATCAAGAGACAGCTATTTAGTTTGGAGCAGTGACACCACATTTGGTGTCAACAAGTAGTTTGGGCAGAGATGCAATTATTTCCTTAAAGCTCTGTTCCAAGTAAATGCTTCCTGCAGGCCAAGCTTGTCCATGCTCAGAAAGAGAAGATGCAAGTTCCTTGTCAATTTTGCTGCTTGGTTACGATTTGTTTGAAAATACAGTAAAGGAGGAAAAACTACAGGTGAATTGGGGTTCTCATTGGGTTAATTAAACTTTATTTTTAATAAGTGACTTCTTTAAAGAAAATTAGTTTAGGTGGGTAACTTCATGTTGCTGTAGGTGTGTTTTGAGAAGAATTGTCTCACGTTTTCTAAGTATACAAGAAAACCTACTTTCCAAAAGAAAATTTAAGGCAACAGAACACTTCTGATTTTTTTTTTTTTTTCCTCTTAATGATTTAGCAACTGAATGGAAGACAGCATTATAATCTCAGGGCTGAAAATCAGGGCAACTCTAACTCACCCCAGAAAGGATCATTTCTGAGTGGCAATCAGAAAAATAAAGTGAGTGTTTTGATTCATTTAGTATTGGACCCAAATGTCTCTATTTATTTTGGCCTCCGATTTAGAGTGGGTGTCCTTTTCTCATGATTAACAGGTAGTGGTTTAGTATGTCAGATGTTTTAGTCCAGATATGGACTGGAGCAGAAGTTGTCCCAGTTCTTGAATGACTACAATATCCTGTGTTATCCTTGTTTAGATTCATTTTCAAAAGTGTTGTTTTTTACGTAGCTGGGCTTCAGTTCTGTGGTAACATACCTGTAATGTAATGAAGCAATTGAGCCTGATTGATAAGGCCTTACAAAATAAGGCATTAATAATAAAATGTGAGAATACTACCAGTATGAGAGCATGCTTTTGAAATCATTCTGAATTATCATCTGAGTTTAATTATATTCAGTGATCTTCCCTAGTTTAATAACTTCTGTTAATAACAAAACAAAAACAATCTCAAAACAAACTAACCTCATTTCAGTTTAATAGTGATTCTTAGGAAGAGTTGTTACATAAATACAGCCCACCACAGTAGCCTATTCCATAAATTAAATGCCTGCAAGTTCTACTAGTGTCAGTATGAAAATTTCTGTCGTCTGAGCGCTGTTTAAATTTGGACCTTAGGATTTTCAGAATGTCTGTGTATATGATCAGCTGTTCAAAAGTTGAGTTTATAATTGCTGAGTTTGTTGGGGGTGTTGTTTCTTATTTTGTCAGGCACAGAGTAAGCCAGATGATGAATTCTGCAGTATATGGCAATCATTGCAGAGTTCTGGGAAGTCTCACCACGTTCAGCAAACCATGCATGAGAAGGTTAGTACATAAACTTTAAACAGATCCCTGGGTTCAAAATATGAAGGTGCTTAATTTTATACATCGGTTCATTACATCAGAAAACTTTCTAGTTAATGTTACAAATAAATCCTCTGGATTAAAGTATTGTTACACAGGGTATGCATAGCTCTGGAAAGAGGTAATCATACAGGACTATTATGTAAATGATAGACACATAGTTTTCTAATTAAGGTTTGATGTTTGAAATCCTAGGGTGCAGTTCTACCTCAGGAAATCAAGCTGGGAACTGGCAATCAGTTCTATAAGCCAGGATTCAATGACAGCAGCTTTAAAGGTCAGCAAAGAAAACAGGAGCCATATAAAAAATGTAAGTACTATAATTAGAAACTTTGTTTAGGAGAACTGCTTGCTTTATCTGATCTTCATTGAAATGCCTATTTAATTTTTTGTAGTTATCGACAGAAAATAGTTTATTATAAACACTACGTTGCACTTGTTATTGTCAAATATTGTCCCTGGTATGCATGTTGGGTTATTCCATGCTTAATCCTGAACCTTTTAATCAAGCTGTTCTGCATTATGTTGACTTTCCACCTGTCTGATATAAAAACAAAACAAGAAAATCCCACAACCTGGCTTTGAAAGTTTGCTTGTGATCATATTTGTAGAATATAAAATTAGATATATTATTGCGTATACTTCATTTTATTTTATTCTACAAGAAAAGCATACACCAAATTACCTATAAAGTATGAATTAAACATTTGATGCAACCATTCACATTAATGCAACTTTGCATACTTGTATGGAGTTACCAATTTTTTTGCGTCTTGATTATTGTTATTGTTTTTAAGAGCTTTTCAAAGGAATGCATTCTTTTGTAGTTAAAGAAGATTCCAAAGTTACAAGAGGTGAAAGTCAGCCACATAATAAAATATCAAACAAACAGGTAATTTTTTCTGTACTGAGTAAATGTATTATTTTCTTTTCATTTTACTCTGATCTGATTCATTGTTTTACAGATTTCTCTTTAACTGGCATCTTAGTTTATTCTTTTACTAGATAGATTTTATTTTGGAGATTATTTTTTTTCTCTAGAGATTTTATAGACAGAAAATGAGAGAAAGTGTGTAAGATGTATAGTGATGATACCAAATGATTTTTCTATTCCTCTCAGACTCTAAAAGCTATGTTGTAATGGGACAACATGAAATACTAGGTTTTCAGTAAGCTGAAATCCTCTAGGAATATTAGCTTGTGAAAGCTCTTTGCAGATGGGTTTCTAATATGATTGTGTCATAATGAGTAATGGAGTACTAGTATTCAATAATAAATGCTGCAGTTTTTTTCAGAATTTTGCAGGTGTGAATAAGTACAATGTCAAACTTTTGAAGAGGAATGAAAGTCCCAACACTCCTGTAATTCAGAAAGCTGCAGTTGATGGTCCCTGCACAGGTGGAAAGGTAGGATCTAGATAGTTGATTTTCTTGTGCTCTTTGAATAACTTCAGTTTCCAGTCCATTTTGTTCCAATTATTCCTGGTCACTAGTGTGCAAATTCACGTTTTTAACAGATACAAGTCAAACCTGTATAACCTTGACCATTCTTTAAATCAATTCTCTATTGGTCAATACTTGCATCTTTTTAGTATGCAAAACTTCATTTAGTCTCTGCATATCTGTTCACGCTCTGAGCAGACATGACTCTGATCTGCCCAAGCTAAGAGGATAAAAATCTGGAATGAGCATAAAATTAATCTCAAACTAATACACCCTTCGTCTTGCATCTGCTTGTAATATACTAAGTTGAGGTACCTTTTTTTTTTTTTTTAATTTAAGAAGGACAATGAACTTGAAAGCCTTCTAGCTTCTTTGAAAATTTCCAAAGAAAATGAAGTGCAGACTTATTCCAAGGAAGCAAGAGCTACAAATGAAGAACATCTGTCACCACAGTCATTTGCTATGGTCTGTATACTGCAGGAATCATAACATTGCAATTTAGCATCTGTTATCTTAGCATCAATGCTTCTATTTAAAGAAACTCAATGAAAACTCATACTGGCTTTTTAAACATATTGATGAGCTTTTAATTAGCTATTTTCAAAGTTAACAAACACATTTGTTTATGCTAAGATGGTGTGCTTTGATAAAATGTAACTGATAGCAAAACAAAAATTCATATTTTGTTACCGATTATGATATTCAGAGTTAAGTAAAAAGGTAGTGTTATCTGAATGCCATCATGTCCCTAAATGGTTTATTTTATTTTTAAAGAAAGGAACACAGATGCTCAAAGAGATTTTGAAGATAGATGGCTCTGACCTGGAAACAAGGAATGAAGTGAAATCCCAAGTTAATGATGTTCCTGCTCCCCCTAGTAGACAGGATTGCCATGGAGCTGCCTTGCAATATAGACAAACAAAAAAAATGGGTATGTTTAGACATCAGCTCATAGTTCAGAGCTTCACCTTGTAGTGACAGTTTAGAACATAGCAAACAGTATAGTACTGATTTTCAAAATATAGTAATAAAATGTTCAGCTTTTTCAGTTCTACTTCTTTATTCAGATCTAAAAATCTCTTTGTATATAGTCTCCTGGGTTTTTTTTTAATCGGATATGAAAACACCACAAAAAATCAAATATGCCTTTTTTTTTTACTGCTAAAACCAAAGTTGCTATCCTTTCAGTGCAGGAAATCTTCGTGATACAGCTTTTTTTTTCAGCTTTTTTTTTTTTTTCCCCTTTTGTCAGCTCCTTATATGAACAAGCCTCACAGCACTGGAGGCCCTCAGAACGCACCAGCACTGGAAACTGGAGGTCACCCTTTTCCTTGTCCACAGCCTGCACTGTCTACTGTTTCTGAACTTTCTCGTATTTGTTCTCTTGTTGGAATGTCGCAACCAGATTTCTCTTTCCTAAAAACACCACAGGTAAAAAGCTTTTTCTGCAAAAGTTAAAGTTTTCAACTTCCTTTCAACTGTCCTATAGTAAACATTTGGACTGAGCACTGAAATCCTTTTAAAAATAAACCTTAGCTCCTTTTGTTGCCTTTTTTCAAAACAAATGAACAAATCCTCTCTTTCTCAGTTTGTCAGCAGTACATATTCCCTCAAAAATCTTATCTCATTTTTCTAGACCATGACAGTTTGTCACATAAAATTATCAAATGGATTGTTGGTTCATGGACCACAGTGTCATTCTGAAGCTGAAGCAAAGGAGAAAGCTGCGCTTTTTGCTTTACAGCGTTTGGTGAGGATGCAAAGAATCTTTTAAAATCTTTGTCTCTATTGCATTGCATCTGTTTGTAACCCTCCGTGTCCTCCTTCATAGAGTTCTATAGGAGTAAACTTCCCTTTGCCTCCGCCTCCACCAGTGTTTCCAAATTACCAACCACTGGGAGTTCCTGTACCACCTGGATCTATTCCTCCAGTATTTGCACAACACCCTGGTAAGTATTTGACTAGTACACGTTTCAGATATTGTCATGATATCCTGTAACTGTAATAGTTCTTTATATTGAAATGAATGCCTTCCAGAAAGCCCCATTTTTGGTCTTCATATATGTAGTTGTGTGTCTGAACTGCTTTGAAAACAGTTCATGAACCTCTTCACGAATACACAAATTAATTCAATACAAAAAAATCATGTTATCTCCCAATTACTTCTTTTCCTCAAGAATGTATTTGTCCATTCAGTCTTAGTTGTTTTTTGTTTGTGTTTTTTTTTTAATTCAGAACAATAGTAATTAGTTCAAAGCTGATAGTCCCAGTCTAGAATTTGGAAGAAACCTCTTCCTTGATTTTCTACATGGATTTCCTTCCCCCTTTCCCTTCCTCCTGATAGTTAATGGTTATCCATGCATTAGTGGTTTTATTAGTTTATAACCAACTTCCATTGAAATGCTGCATCACAATCCTGTTGCACACTGCCAAACATTAGAATGGTAAGTAACCCCCCCCCAAAATTGCTAAAAATCTTGCTGACATTTCTGGTTCCTGTCTGTTTTGTATTCTACTAAAGCTCATGTTCACAGCTAGAAATTAATGAGTCAGCACCATTGTAGCATCCTAGTAACCCATACAGCAGCTGCTACATCTCTTTTCCCCAGCGTTCCTATATTGTTGACCTGTTTCAAAAGGATGGTCTAAACTTGCAACCTTCTACTGACACAGTTCACTCAGCTAAGGATGCAAAGATCTGAAGTTATACGTGCTCCAAAATGCAGATGCTGTGACTTAGTGCTGTTAACTGCTGTCATCTAGGTGTAGTTCTGTAAAAGCTGAACTGGTTGTTTGGGATTTTTTGATAATAAATAAATACTTATCTATTTTCAAGTAAATATGAAGAATATGAGGCTTTATTGGAAAGAGAAACAACATGCAGACAAATGTAGTTGGGGTACTTTTGGGGTCTTGGGGAGTTGGTATCCTCTTTTTGAGGAAAGAGAGCTAAAAGTTACTTATTTTCACAGCTAATATAATGCCTCCATCATCTCACATGTTTGGTCCGGTGTCCTGGGGAACTCCAGTGCCTAAACATTATTATCCTGGCTCCTATGCAGGAAATGTGTCTCTTGCAGGAACTGTACCAGTTGGTTCTCACAACCAGTTTATACCTCTGCAGGTAAGATTGTCAGGTTTATTTTAATACTCTGTTTTTGTAAAAAATGTGTCTACATGATGAATGCAACATCACCCCCACTCTGAAGCACTTTTTAGTATTAGAAAATTATTGTAAAAAATTGTATGCATGTTTTCTAAAAGTGGAATATTTGCAGTTTTTTGAGAATGCATTCTGTTAAATGATATTTATTTAATTTAAAGGTAACTAAAAAAAGGGCTGCTAGCAAGAAAAACTTTGAGCTCAAGGAGTTTCAGAGTTCCCCTCAAGCTGCACCACTAAAGAATGAACAGCCAGTGTCTTCTGACCACATTCAGCAAGATAGTTCTTCAGCTCCTTTAAAATCTCCTCAAGCTGCTCAATCCACTGTTTCATTTCAAGACAATGTGGCTACTCCAAGCGTTCCTCATAACAAATCAACACCAAACACTTCCAGCAAGCGAAAGCCGAGAAAGCTGGCTGTCAATTTTGGCGCACCAAAATCTTCAGAATAAATATGGTAGCTAGGTGTATTTTATCTTTAACTCTTCCCCCACTGTTATGTTCTATCATTTAAAAAAATCAGAAAACTCTATTAAAAAGACCAGCCACTTTAAGTATAATATAGAATGAAATAAATTTTATTTGCTATGATTTTCAGGTTGTTATGAAAACTATAAAAATTATGTTAAAACGTAATTATTTTGACTTAAATTAGCAAAAGCCAGGAAATGCTGAGTTAAGGTTACCATGCCATCCATTGTGCCTAGGTTTCTAAACAGTGGCTTACAGACTATACCAGGTAAGCAGCAATAACAGTGGCAACCTTAGCTCAGAATTGCTGTGCTTTTTGGGAGGGATATGGAGCAGTAATAAGTTGGGCATCAAACATTGCTTAGTATGACATTTTGTATTCTAGCTTATTTTTAAATAGTGTAATAAGACAGAAAGGAAAAATTATTTAAATGCAGCTTTTATATTGGCTCTCCAGGTCCTTCTGAGTTGAATCAATGTGACTAAAACCTAACTACAGTGGAACTGCCAAGTTCTAACTATGAACTGCTAGGTTTTATACCAGAGGGCAACAACTTTACAACTTTCAAAATGTAGGCATTACTGTATCTCTAGTATGAGAGTGGCAAAAAGTGGTTGCTGATGCAGAATCTGTTCCAGGAGATTAATTTATAGGATGTATTGAATAAAAAGATATATTTACAAAGTAGAGACCTCTTTGGTAAAGTACATTTAATTTTTTTAATCTAGCAGCATTACCAATTTCGTTGTTTTCTCATGATAAAATAACATAGGTATCTACTACAGATCTGCATAGCCTCCTAAAATGCTAGTGATATCCTGATTTTTTTTTTTCTAAATTATAAAAATGACCAGAGTTTAAAGAGGTCCAGTTGTGTAGTATGGCTGTCAGTAGAGTCCATTTCTCCCTCTAACGGTCTGCGCCCTGAAACCTTCTCTATGATAGGTTATTTTTTGTTGCTAGTGACTGTTAATATTTATTCTTTAGTTTTGTGATAGAAGTTCTATGTAGCAAAATTAAATTATCAGAAACTGTTACTATTGGTTCCATAAGAATATTCAGACAAAAAGTTGACTTGTATTTTTGGAGGGAGCTATGTTGTAAAAGAAGTAACTCATTCTTAGTTCATATAGGAAAAAAAGAAGGCTCAAAGGTCCCTGTACTATTTTTAACCCACATAGACCGTTCTTTGGACTTTCATAAGAAATCTGCTGAGAGAAAATTTGAAGCCGCAGTTGATGCTGTTTACTGACGTTGATTAAATTTCATTTCTTTTCTTTATTCTAATCTGTTCCGGAAAAAATATTTTTCTTCTAAGGCCCAGGAAGCTTAGAAACAAAGCATACTTTAGTGATTCATTTTGTTGCCTCCAAACAGGTTTTATGTTGGATCTGCAAGTCTGTAGACTTTCTTTTAGTTCCCTGATGTTCTTGCCTCCATTTTTTGGTGTAGTACCAAGTTTCACATTGTTACCATGTTACAGGACTTTTATATTGATTTCTCTGAAACATTTGTTGCCTCAGCAGTATTTGTAGAATAGCAGCAAGCCCTGTAAAAAGGATTACAGAGGTAAAAACAAGGTTAAGAAATTTTCTTTCATTTTACTTGGTATCACAAACCTTGTAGAATAGTCTGTATAGAGTCTTAAAATACATTGATTTTGTTGTTCTCTTTATAGTCATCTAGTCTCAAGAGGGTTTTAAGCCATACTCTGTGAAGGGAGAGTTGTGCATTTTGGTGATTTATTGTCATAAGCAACACGAGACTGACACGATGCTGACACGCCAGTATTTTAGAAGTGTTTATGTGAAATTTAGGTGAGACACAGATGTTAGCCAATTTATGCAGATGTTTTAGAAAGTTATGAAGGACACTATACTGTTAACACCGGTAAACACAGCAATTTTTATTATTAATTAATTACTTCAGCCTAAGACTTCCTCCCCCTCTTCAAGTAGAATTGCTATATGTAGTATATATAGCTGGTTAAACACTTAATTCTGTAGCTGCTGCATATTGTATTAGTCCCTGGGTTTTAGTTTATATATTCTATGATAGTGACTGCCTGGTGCCCAGTTAATTACACTTTTACATGTCCTGGTAGATGTAACACCTGCATTGACCTATGCCATGTCCCCTATGATTTCAGTTTTATATTTTAACAAGGTGATTATGTTTAATTCATACAGATATAAATTTAAGCATTTGTTTTTCTCATAGATGTAAAGTATTTTGTAAGCACTGGAGTTTTTCATTAGATCTTATACAGAGCAGTATTTTACTAAAAATCAAAAAGGGAAGACTTTTATGTGCGCATTTTTGTAGTTTCTGATTTTTTTAAAACAACTTTTCATTGTTTATCTGCCAAGTGAAATGTTTTAAATTTGCATATGAATGGATACAGAATGTATTTTTTGTGCTGTTTAGTGTTAAGTGTGCATTTGCAGATTTTTAGCATGTAGTTGCACAAAGGACTGTGCAAAGATATTTTAAAATATGAATATATGATACACTGAAGGAAAAACATTCATAAAAGTTAAATGCTATATAAAACTTTAATGCAATAGAATAATTTTATAAATTGTGTCTGTGTCTGCTTGGATTAAATATTGAAACAAGAAACATTACTTATTTTCACTGTTTTATTTCCAAATAATATATGGGAACTTCTACCAAAATTTTAAGATATAAAGTAAATCTCATGAAGCCCAATTTCTGTGATTCTCAGAAGCAGCAACTGCCCACCTCTGAGCTGTTTCTTGGTGGCTTTCAATTACTACTCAGTTAAAGACATGAAGTTTGTTAAAAAGGCTCTTGGTTACTTTGCAATTAAAAGCATTTTACTAGATAATGATCTTCCAAAATTGCTTTGACTTCTGTCACCCATTAGATTTAAAAAAACAAACAAACAAACAAACAAAAACCCACTCTAGAAAAGGCAGTAGGATTACTTTCCAGCAAGTTCAGTCCTAGTGGTTCATAACAAGGTGCAAAACCAGCTGGTGGCTGAAAAATAGGAGCAGCCATGGGTACCTGGAAATATTTCACATCCTAATGCAAAGCCTTTTTCTGTACCTGGAGCAAAACATTGTGATTTTTGCTAGAGTAGGGTAAGAACAGTGGAACAGTGAGCTCATTTGTAACAAGGCTTCTGAATGAAGCATAATGAAAAACTGCACTAAAACCAGTGTACTGTGTTTGAATTTCTTCAAGAGATACATGGCAAGTTACGTTTCATAATTAGATTTCCTTATCCCCGATAATAGCAGTTATTTTAAACTCAAAATTGCCAAATTAATGTTACTAGGATTTACCCTTATTTTAGAAAGGGTAAATAAATTTCTTCACCTTCATATTGTGTGTATATATGCCATGTGCTGAGTTTTGTTCTCTGACCAGTTATCTCTGAGATTATGTTCAAACTCTATTTGTTGTTCCCTTTTAAAGCATAATGAACACTGTACTCATGCCAGGTAATTCTTAGTATCTTTGGTTGTGAGTTATGAACTTTGTTAGGATCTGTCTTTTGCCAGCTGCAGCACCAGCTTTTCATGTAGAGAGATGTTATTTTCCTTCTCATAGATTATTGTGTGAATGAGCTTTTTTAAAGCAACTAGCATAAAGAATGGAGTATACTCTTAGCATGACCAGCTGCTGCAACTTCGTGTAACAATACTCTGTGTAGAGCAGTGTGGTTGGTGTATACATTCGAGTCATACTACGCAACAGGAAGATACCAAGATACAGTCTTGCATTTCTTAAGCTGTCTTCAATTATTAGTCAATGGATTTTTAGGTACTGCAGTTATCCTGCATGGCAAGTTCTGCCTCGTTATCTTTCCCATCTCAATATATAGCACTAAAGAAAATTAAAACAAATTAAGTAAAGGGGTTACTTTAAAATACATCAGTTTGTGCGTAATAAATCTTGCATGGACACTCCCATTCAAAAATTAAGTGATTTGTGTGATTAACTGATTAAGTGTTTAGTTCATCTGAACTACTATATAGATGACACCTGAAAGTCAGGAATCTCAAAGAAGGAATGGTTACTTACAGTAAGGGAGGTTTTTTTGGTTGGTGGTTTGGTTTTGGTTTTTTTTTTGAGATGTGATCTCCATATGTATTCCATAATCAGCCTTCCTTACTACTGAGAGACAGTTATGTTCTTCTCTTTCTGTCTCTGGAAAGGGGACACAGTGACACCAAGGGCATAAGGGCAGTCTGAATACACACTCTTGGCCAAAAGAATCCCAATTCAGGTGCATGAGGACCCATGAATATTGAGACTGTAACTGATATATATTTTGAAGAATCGAATATCATGAGGTAAGTAGCTGTTGCGTATTAACAAAAGAATCCACGGTTCCAACAACAGTTCCATATTGCTGCCAATTTTTGACGGGGTGTTTACTCTTATTTTTCTGTAATTTAAAAATTTCCTGTTTCATTTCTGCTTTGAAAGACAATACAAATCAAAGAGAAGGAGTCGCAGTGCCATCAAATGCAAACAGTAAACCTGATTCTTGTTATTTGAAAGGACAGGGAAAGCATTTTTTATTAAAACTTACTAATTTTTCTGGTAAAACTTGGTCAGTAAGCATTATTGCACCAGCATTGCTTTATGAAAGTTGATAATCATCCGTAGTCCTGTATTCTGTGTAGTGGCAAGAAAGACAATGGCTGGCAATCAAAAGGCAAAATGTAATTTCTGTGCCAGTAACAGCAGCAATAAAATTCAAAGTCAGCAACTTTTAGCATGTTGAGGGTACAGGGTAAAGCAAGACCTGTGATTCCAGTTCAAGTGATCTACTTCAGAGTAACCTATGCATGTTTTAGATTTAGCACTAATTTGGGATAGAATGTGACATTTACTATTAGCTCCTGATGTTTCTTCCAGTACGTATTCATTTGAAACAGCTGAAATGCTTTGTCAGTCATTGAAACTTAACTCCGCAGGGTAAATGGAGAGCGGTGTAGGCTGCTGGAACCTCTGAGTTTACTGAGCCTATACTGAGATGGTTCGTTTTTCTAGATTTTTCTGTGTTTAAATTTTTTTCCTTTTCCTTCCCCTTCCTTTCTTTTCTAATTTTTTTTTCTTTTTTTAAGTGGCTAGGTCTTATTGAAACAATAGTCCTCAAGTGCTTTTGCATCCCTTTAGCCTCTAGTATATCCATTCTCTTGTTCTTAAACTTCATTGACGGCCATTTTCCTCTCTTTATTTTTAGATTTTTGTCCAGTGAATTTCCAGACTTTGAAATCAATGTTCTTTTAAAGAGCTGTTCAGCCCTGGATCTTCTAGGTACAAATGACCATTCCTCGCATGTATATACACGCACATGCACATATATACACAGATATGGGACTCAATCTCTTATTTTCTCAAAGCAATTCGTAGTTCTGTCACTTTTAGTC